CATGTATATGTGTGTAAATAAATATGGATATATTTGTTAAAAAATACCTCTACAGAGAGAATTGAATCTGTGCCCAAAAAGGCATTATCTTAGATAGCCCCACATCCTTGCCACTGTTCTTTTGATGCTGTATAGTTTTTGCAAAAATTAATATATAAACTATATTTTTTTGATTGGGTGGCAGGCGAGAGCGGCAGACTTAGTGGTAGCAGGCGAAAGCTTCAAATTTGATAGTCGCAGGCGATAATCGCAGTCATAGTGGTCGCAGGCGAGAGCCTCAGTCTTATTGTCGCAGGCGAGAGTCGCAGTCATAGTGGTCGCAGGCGTAGTAGTCGCAGTCTTAACACATCTCCTTTATTTATTACCCTCCCCACAACTTATCAGGTAGTCACTAGTTCACTACATACTCACTGTAGTCACCAGTTCACTACATACTCACTGTAGTCACCAGTTCACTACATACTCCCTGTAGTCACCAGTAACCACTAACCAGTCATCACTCGCTGCCACTTACACCAGCTGCCCAGCAGTTATGTAGTCAGTTACCACTTACCATTTCCAGTTACCACTCACCACTGCGAGTCTGTGACTTGTGAGTCTGTGACTTGTGAGTCTGTGACTGTCTCGGACTCTCGGAGAGTCTCCACTCTCCAGAGTCCAGAGTCCAGTTAATACTCTTTATAGTCACGAGTAAATTAGTGAGGAGAGAGAGCAACCGTACTTCTAAAAAAAAGTAACAAAAGTCACTCGCAGCCTGCAGGGCCCAGGTCTTAGGCCTTAAGGCCTCAGGCCCCACGCCCAGTGGCCCGCTAAGGCCCCACTTCCAGTACCTGACTCAGAGTCCCCAGAGAGGGCCAGAGTCCACCCTCATGCTCGTTCTTGTAATCTTGTTGTTGAGTTGTTTCTAAAATATATATAAATAAACTGTTGTTTAGAGTGAGTCACTCGCCAGAGACACCAGTCACTATAAACTCACTACTATTGTTACAGTTTTACTAACAGTTACTAACTCTTGAACTTAGTATTCAGGGCCTTAGGGCCTTAGGGCTTAGGCGGTTAGCGGGTCAGGCTTCAGCTAATTGCCTGCTAGGCTCAGCCTCCCAGGCCCCAGGCCTCTACTAGAGGCCGAGGGGCCAGGACCCCTACTAGAGGCCGAGGGGCCAGGGCCCCTACTACTTACTAGTAGTAGGCCTGTAAGTAGTAGGCCCTGGTCAATGCTTGGGGTAGAATACAGGCAAGCTGGCCAGGAATCGGAAAACCTGTAACCTTGTTTGTGTGCGCGCGAGAGAGTAGAGAAAACCCAGAATGGCAGAGCCCTCTCTCTACTAGAGAGAGAGTAGAGAATCCACAGACCACAGTTCCTGAGTTCCACTGTTCCACAATCCACACCAGCCTGTTCCACACACATTATTTATCACACACACACGCGCGCATATCCGGGACAGACGGACAGAGACGTTTACTTTTTTAAAAATAATAAAAAAATATACAAATACAGTCCTTTATATGTCCAGTTCCCGGGATTGGCAAATATTTGGACATATAAAGAGGTAAGACAAGTCTGGGTCAGTTTCATAAGACTGACTGAGTATCTTCTCTCCAGACTCCATGAACCTTCTTATTGTTTTGATACTAACGCCGATTTACTGACCACTTCTTCCCATCAATCTTTCCTGAACCACACAGCGACTATGAGAGCCATACCATATGTTCATACATTGTATCACACATACTTGCCATTTTTGAAATAAATAATATTATCCCTAACGCCGAAAGATGCATGCGCTACCCGCACGGCCTCCTTAACTAACTCCTTACGATAGCTGTCTTTCCATGATAGGTCTAAGCTGTATCCCGCTTTCTGGATTGTACGCACGATGACACCTTTAACTTTGTTTGTTAGATTGATTCTTTTGTTGTATTGGAACTCACATTTGATACTACAGTCTGTTTATATGTTTTCTTCTTCTTACCAACAGTGAGCTTATCTATCGTTGTAGGTCCGTTTTGTGTGAATTCGTCTGGCTCTGTATGTCTGTTATTAATGAAACCAGACTCCCACATGTCATCCGGTGGCTGGCATTTATCTGTAGACAGGCAGTAACCGATTGAATTTGAGCCATACCCCTCACCAAGATGCACGCCACAAAAGGCATGCATACTTCGATCGCAACCAGCATATTTATATACACCACCCACTGGGTGCGTTGTAGTGCATCCTTTCGCACAACAGCGTTCACCACTAGAAGTGTCTCCCATCAGGATCTGTTGTAGTACGTACTCTAGTGTATGTAATATAGATAAAGCTACCGTCAAGCTGAGGTGAAAGGCGAAATATTCACACAGGTAAAAACTTCAATAAAAAAAAGGATAAATATACGAATGACCCCTGAGTCTGAGTCTCATCGACCCTGACGGTCTGACCGCAGTGACCGGATGGCCGAAAGCACTATGATGAATAACACAAATTTAAAAAAGAGCAATTAGAGCTCCTAATTAGCTCAGTGCCAATCAGTGATATTAATAGTCGGACGTCCAAGAGCAGGCTGCAGGACCGGTCTAAAAAGACCTGAGGGGTTGGCCAAAATAGAAATTGGACATATAAAGAGGTAGACACCATAAAGAGGTGGATATATAAAGAGGTATGACTGTACATTGATATGTAAAAATGTTTTATTAAAACAAAAGTTTTCAAAAAAAATAAGTCGGCCCGCTGAAATTTTGAAAATCAGACACGTCGTCTCTTTGAGTCTTTGTTCGCGCGTGAGTGGAGAAGTGAGAAGTGAGAACATAGATCAGATTGATATTTGATACCAAATACCAATAAACAAATGAGTTATTTTTAAATTGACGACATTATCGATACGACAGATAAAAAACATCTTCATTCTGGACTGGAGGCTGGACTCAATGAGTTATGAGTGTCTCAATCTCAGATACTGCTGAGGAGTAGGGACTGGGGAGAGTGGAGTGTCCGAGTGAGTCGGAGTGAGTTGGGTCCGTTGGGGTTCTTGTTGGGAACGTCCCCTGAATCCCAGATGTCCCGAGACTGCCGACGTTTGCTCAATTGCCAACCCTATATTTTTGGTTCGAAATGTCTCGAACACTCTGGCTCGTGGACACTTTGGCTCGTGAACGCACTGGCTTTGAAGGCCAAAAATGTATATTTAAAAAAGAAGAAGAAAATAAATAAATAATAGGACACCAAAAATCCCAAAACATAGCCTCCTATTAATATAAATTGAACAGGAGGCTATGCCGCTATGACCAAAAAGACCAAAACCATGTCTGTGTACTTTATATAAATCTCTCGAGCACTATTATGACTCTATTTTTAAAGAACTATTGAGTGTCTATTCAGCAGTGCACAACAAGCCAAGATAATCATGGCGATCGTGTCTAAACTCCTCGGCCTTACCAAAAGACGAAAATCATATATGTCTATGGAAGCGAATGATTCGATATCGATGAAGTCAGAAAATTACAGTTCTCCAATCTATATTCAGGATGCTAGTCTCTGCAGTTCTGTGAAGGACTCAAATCGGCTTCAATCGATTTCTGAAGACGACATCAGTGCGGTTGTTGTGTCTGACTGCTTTACAGACATGTGCACTAACAATGTTCTAACTAATAGTAATATGGCCATTCCTTGTCGTAAAGGATATTATGTTCAGTATAAAACACGGGACCATGTTGTAGCAGGAAAGTACAAGGTAGAAGAACGGAATGCAGCAGATTTGATCTTGAGCGCCAATAAGAACGGCATCGTTGCTTATAATTTGGAGAATATGGAGATACTGTATCAATATCCTTGGGCGTCCATTGAAAATATCCGTCACGAAGATAATACCCTCAAACGTACCGATTCTAGGAGCAAGTCTTCAAAAGACTTTTTGGGTGTGCATCGCAAGGATGGGGGTGTCTTCGTTATAGAATCTGACCACATCAGTGAATTCAAAGAAGCAATTTTCAAGCATCACACAGATCCGGGAACGCTGAAATGGATCGACACCAAACTGGCTATAAAAGCCAACGCACACCGGTACATGTATATTTAAGCAATCATATTCAGGGATTGTCAAGTTAAAAGCGCCGTTGACGTGTAGTACTAATCAAATGTACTGCACGACGACTATTTGCGTATGTTAAGCAATCATATTCAGGGATTGTTAAGTTAAAAGCGCCGTTGACGTATAGTACTAATCAAATGTACTGCATGACGACTATTTGCGTATGTTTTCGCTTGAGCGAAAAAAGTTATTAATACCAAATCTGCTGCCCATGTATGTCAGTTAATTCTAGATACACGCAGCGATATCACATGTATTCAATTTTTAAAAATTAGTATATTTATAAAATAAACACAGCAACCCACAGTGCATTTTTCTCTATTTGTCAACTTTTTCGAACCGGAAACTGCGTACGTGTAGATTTATTCACGATCATACGGTCAGCACTGCAGAAGAAACTACTGAATTCACTATGCTGCCATGTGTCTTAGAAAGAGACAGACACATTTCTTTTGGGGGTTGGTCGATTGCATATTGGCACGAGTATTAGCTTTCGTATTTGCTGCACCGGCATACGTTGCCTGTCCTTGATCGTGGTCAACGCGTCCATTTTTTAACCACAGCCAGTGGTCGATACGTACAGTCGCAATCAAATTAGCTATTGTAACGATATGCGTTGTCTTAGGCTTACTATACCACCAACTGATGACCGCCACGGCTTGACTAGTGATTTCAACGTATAGTTTAACCGCACGTAGTCCACAGAAGCCAAGAAGGCCAAAATTACTCGGATAGACTGCGTGATAGCTATATGGACTTAATTCATAAGGTAGAGCCCAATTAAACCTAAGTATTTGATATTGGCCAATTATGGGACATGGCGGCCCTACTGTTGTGTTATCCAGAGTTGATGGCAGAATGGAAACCATGGATGGACGCTAGAGGGAGTCATCAGCGGATCTGTCTACTACTAACAGGCACCCAACTCCAAAATCACTTTCCCATAACCATAAGAGCCGCTCCAGAGTGTATATGGACACGTATAGGGTGTACTTGCGCGTCATAAATGGTACTTGGCCATGCGGAGGCATATGTAGGTGGGGTTCTCTTCAACGTTACATCACTCTCCCTCCAACGGCCCATAGGCATCGTCCTCGTCGTCTTGCCGGTCGCATGAGATTGATCATTGGTCTACTGCTCGGCCACTTTTCCATACTAAACATCTAGGAAAGAAGGGCCACAAGCGTACTTCAGGCGTCAGGGTGATTCCATCCATGTACTCACCCACGCAGCGGAATACTCGGGAGGTGATTCGGACACAACGCGTACACGAGCTCTGGCCCACATGTCAAGTCCCATGCCAGCGGGTGCCTAATTGTATACACCAGTCACACATGCTGAATTTGCTTCCAAATCTTTGACTTGTAGCCCATTCTAACAAAAGGCATAATCACTGTCGTATGCATAAGGCGTCAACAGGAGTTCGTATTGTCGCATAGCCGATAAAGGTACAATTCCACCATAGCCACCCAACGTTGTGGTAATCGCATGGGCACGAGTACGCGAGAATATATATCCTCTCTATCTAAACATCGTTTCTGTTACACATCCCAACAACAGTAATCTCTTTGAGGTCCTGTCGGATGCACAAAGCTTCGCTCAGAGTGATACCATCGCCACACTTCCTCGTTTCTGTCGATCCTCTGAGGTATTTGCGAATATGATTGCTTTTAAAGATAATTCTCTTGTATCTAAACATCGTTCTTGTTACCCATCCCTGCAACAGGGATCTCCTTGAGTTCTTGTCGGATACATAAAGCTTCGCTCAGAGTGGTTGTTATCGCACAGCAGACAATGGTGCAAAACCACCACCACCCACTCATCCAGCCCCAGTACAGTGTACAGAACAGCAGATGGTAACAGTACAGCGTAACGCTGAAGTCTAGGCAAAGCTTGGCCCGGCTCACTACTAGGAGAATCCACACCGCACTAATGTAAACGAAGTAAAAAGTTAATCACGTGTTAGTACTCGAGCGAAATAATGATTGTCATGGATATCGTCAACATGCATCCCTAGTTACAGTACAACGCACCGTCACAGAAAATAGAGATCGAGCTGTCAGGACAACGTGATGATTGCCACAAAGATTGCGGACATGCAGCACAAGTGGCTTCACATTGGCTACGATGCTTTGGAATAAAGAGATGATGCCGATTTTTTTTACGTGCCAATCTAGTTAGTTGGCTACTGATGGTGCGCAGAACATCGCATACATATATTGATTTCACATCAGGCTCAATTATACAACTGGTAGTGACGTTTGTTATGAAGATCGAGATTAAAGGTATATACGAATAAGCTTAATATACTACTCTAGTAATAGGCTTTTCCAAATATTTAAGGCTCACCTACAAAATCAGCAAACTGTTCAAAAGTGTGATCCTTTAGCCGATATCAATACGGCATAAAGTGGACAAACCTCGTCAACTTTGGTCCCAACAATACGCGTAATATACGACACAGAATCATATACACACAAACACGCACATACAAACACGTCCATACATAAATATGCATAACAACACAGAATCATATACACACAAACACGCACATACAAACACTTCCATACATAAATATGCAGAACAACACACCCATATCCAGATGCACACACAAGCCCCACACACATACACAAATATGCATGACAAAACACACATGTGACCAGATCCACACACATGCCCCACACACATACATATATACGTGTACACGAAACTTAAAACACGAAACTTAAAACACAAAATACACACACAAACACACACATAATATCACACACATATACGCACGCACATGAACCCACCCCTACACACACACACACACACACACGCACATATATATATATATATACTACTATTTATATATACATATACTTCTATACATACACATATGACAAATATATATATACATATATATATCTATATATATATATATATATATACTACACACACGACACAACAACACACACACACA